GATGGTTTTTTTTAAGATTTGCTGATACGAGTTTATGTAATTAAGAATGAATGGGTTATTTGTATGTTTTTTCAAAATCATCAGAAACCGTTTGTTCTTGCACGAATTCTTTATGCCTATTGTAATCCAGCCTTTGAACTTGTGTTCTTTTTTTAACGTCAATTTTGTCAAGGGAAATGCTTCATAGAAAAGATGATTAAATTGCGCGTAAAATATTTCGAATGCTTCAGGTAGATTTGTAGTTTCATAGAGCTGGGTCCAAGAAACATTCCTCAGCGATGCGGTGAATTTTGAATTATTCTTCTTATTGTAAATTCGTACGAATTTCTTGATAGAATTCGAATTTTTCTGAGCATTACATTGTAGATGTAGAAATTGTGCTGAATGATCTGATATACCAAGTTCGGCGACGTGTGCTGAAAATGGCCTTTTTGATTTTATCAAAATATTATCAACAGTGGTGGAAGAGTAATTTGTAATGCGTGTGTGATCTGATATTGTTATCGACAACTCAAACATATTGAGAATATCTTTGAAATCGATCAAATTTTTACTTCTTGAAGTGAAGTTTATATTGAAATCTCCGCATATGATGAAGTCGTACTTATTGAATGCATTATATAGTTCGTTCATCAGATCAAAAAACATATTCAAAAAGACATCAAACTTACCTTGTGGACTTCTGTACATACAGACAACAAATACTTTCGAATTTACGTTATAGATTGCTGAGAATTCAAAATCTTTCTCAATCGGCTTTAGCCGAGTATCCGGTGATCTCCATTGTTGGTTTTCTCGTGCAAAAACTATTACGCCACCATGTATGTACAAACTACGTGAAAAATATGAGAATGGTTTATACCCCTCAGGCTGAAAATAAGCTATTTCGTGGACTTGCATCCAATGTTCACTTAAACAAATTATGTCAATTTCATTGTGATTTTTGCGATATTCTTCCATTAGTAAATTCAGTTCTTCCAATTTATTGCGAATTGACTGAATGTTGAGATGCATGATGATGAGGTATGAAGAGTTGTGCTGAGAGACCTCCATATCCTATGGTTTATTTCTTCTTTTTTTGACGATGTCTGCCACTGATGAACCGGTAGCTATTTGAGATAGTGTGGTTGGTTCATCCTGTGAAGCTTGAAAATCTGCAATTGACTCAGCGTATTCCGGTTTCAGTTGCCCATCTTCTATTTGATTAAGGTTATATTTATTATTGTCGATAATCAAGAAGTTCTGCTTGAGGTATGCTTTCTTTCCACTCCGTTTAGCATTTATCAGATGTGGAAGTAAGAGTCTACGTTCTTTCATTATACTCTGAGGGAAGTTTTCTGCTATAGCAAATGGGGTATTCCTCAAAAGTTTAGCTTGTTTGAATAATTCATGCTTTTTGTTGATATGGTTTATTTTTACTAGGACTGGTCGAGTTTTTTCGTCTCGTTTTGGGCCAATTCTGTAGACATCCTGTATTATTATACTGTTACGTTATTCGAGTGCAGAAGCAAACACGACACCCTTTATTTTCGGACAGACTCATTTTAACTGAAGGAACACTAATTCATATTGAACTCATAACACCTATTTATGTAGAACGATTTATATCGTGCGGTTTATGACTGTCTCTTTTACACTCGGTGCTTGTCTGACTCCCACATAGCACATGCACGTCTTATGTATGTCCATTGGATGTATATCAGGGACCTCATGGTCGTTCAGTGGACGTTTACTTGGGTCCATGAAGGTCTGGTATAAGTCCAATAAACGTCCAGATACACTGGATATGAAGAACGTCAATTGGACGTAGTTCATGTAGTTCATATACGTCCTTCATCCGTCCAATAAATGTCCAGATATAATATCTTATGTACGTACATTCGGGATGTCCAATGAGCATACATAGAGAATGTCCATTGGACGTACTAACGATAAGAATCTTTCATACGTCCATTATACGTCTGAATACGTCCATAATGGTCCGATATATGTCAAATACACTATATATAACATATTATGTACGTACGTCAAGGATGTCCAATGGACCTACATGAAGAACGTCCATCGGACGTACAATATGGATATTTTGTTCGTCCATTTCATGTCGAGTTACGTCCATAGGGTCCATGAAATGTCCAGATACACTAGATATACCATCTCATGTACGTACGTCAATAATGGTCAATGAACGAACATAAGGAACGTCTACAGGACATAGTCAATATTCATATGAAATATTATCAGCTACAAAAATATGCTGGAACTGAATTTATTCTATACACTTTCAGGACATATCACTGGTATTCTATAATCGTTGATTTATATTTTCTTCGATCTATTCGCTGGATTCTTTTCAGAAAGTTATTTCTATTATATAATCAGCTAAGCCGTCTATGCATTGCGAAATAAATCATAAACTTATTGTAGGTTATTCAAAGAATATCACGAAATTCACCTACCTTTCAGGGCACATAGAATCATAGATATAAAATAAGTATATGAAAGGGAATATCTGAATATATACTTTCATACCTGCTTTGAATGATTCGGTTCCAAATAGTCGATTCCAAAAATTTATCACGAACACACAACAAAAAACTCCATAGGTATGATATATGATCACGGTCTTATGATACAACTCAAAATGGCTTCTCGTTCTCGTCTGTCGTTTACACTTTGGAGCTGGACCATCTCGGTCCTGACCTTGTCGGTTGCCCCACTTCATGAGTCTATCAGAGCGCACAATCACGCCTTCCCACAACCGTGCGTCCATCTTCGTAAATATACATTGAATGTATATAAGCGTACAATTTGAAAACGTACGAACTGGATCCAAAATCGTACATCCACTGGGCAACTGAACGTAAAATACAAATCCGGAATAGTACATCCACTGAACGTACATGGAAGTACTATTAGTGAACGTTCAAACTGGAACAATTATGTACATTCCTTGGACGCTCTGGAACTACCATTATATAAATGATTCACAATATCAAATATTTTACTTCTAATGGACATTCATAAGACGTACAATATTGAACATACTATTATATATCCGGAATCGTACATTCATTCATCGTACATAGATGTTCAATTAGTGAACGTACAATTCAGATCAATTTCGTACATTTCTTGGACTTTCTGGAACTGCCATTATATGGATGTTTCATAATGTCGGAAATTTTAAATCCACTGGAAAATCATTGGAGGCACGAAACTGAAGGTACATATCTGGAATCATACATCCACTGAACGTACATGGAAGTACAATTTGTGAACGTACAATTTGGATCCGATTATGTAACATTCGTTGGACGTACTGAAACTACCATTATATGTATGATTCACAATAAAGAATATTGTACTTTCAATAATGAACATCCATCAGATGCACAATTTTGAACTTACAAAATATATTCGGAATCGTACATTTATTGAACGTACATTGACGTTCGAATCGTGAATGTACCATCTAGATCCGATTCAGTACATTTCTTGGGCGTTCTGAAACCTACAAATATGGATATTCCGGTAATGTCGAATATCGTATTCCCAATGGACATCCATAAGACACAGTACTGAACGTTACAAAATATATCCATAATTTTACATCCATTGAATGTCCATATTAGGTTCATAGACGTTTGGATATCATTCAGACCTGAACTGGACGTCCACTGGACGTCGTGTGCTATATGGACTAGCAGCAGCTCTCCGGCCGTCCTAATTATATGTATCAGATTCCATGGCAGGCTTTACCTTTCGAACGTTCTCGAATGATCTTCCGTACCCTTCTTTCGTTCTACATAGAAGCTTCTAGAACAGTATCTCTCTCTCTGATTGTTCCATCGATTGTTTCGAGATGATTTCAGATTCTTCTGTCAGGTTATGTTAAAATCATTGGGATGTTCGAGAGTGTTCCGAAACGCGTGTAACTGAGTAATCGTTGTACTCTTGCCTTCCTGATGATGTTCTCGAGCCCCTCTGAGGAGAATATCATCAACCTATTTTGGAATATTTCAAATTTTCCACTTTTTTTATAATTATTTATAGCAATATTTTCACTTTAAAGTTCCTTGGTGCATTTGAGAAGTTGAAATTGTTCAGCGATAGATTCGGATACATCTCATTGAACTTTCTACATGTCATGTGGATACTTTTATCAGTCCAAAAATAATAAATACATTTATGAGATTTTCGGTTGAATAGATTTGTTCGATCGTTTTTGAGGGTATATTTGCTACTTCCAAAGTGAAGAAAATGTCAATTTTATCAGGAGCATGTCACAACGTTATTGTCAAATATTAATATCATGGCCTGCTTACCAAATACCAAATGGGGATACCATTTTGAACATTTTCACGATGTTCTCATGAATCCGAAACTTGAGAGTTATTGGTAGAAGTATGATATACATACAAAGGGAAATAATTCGAGGAAATTTCTGAATTCTCAATAATATATAGGTTGTTTAATGGAAAATAATCAACTTTAAAAGTCACTTCTTCGAGGAAACAAAATACCTTCATTTTTTTACCAACCTGTATTGAAGTAACGATATCATAGTATCTTAACTGAAATATATCGGCACTTTGAGTGGCCATGATTTTCGAAACAATTAGAATCAATTTTTATTTCGAAATTGGGAGGAGTTGTTGAGAAATCGTTGGAAATTCTAAAAACAATATTATTCACAGGGTGTTCCGATGAAAAATCAAAATGGCTAGTACTTTCTAATGGAAGTATCAACACAGCATTGACGAAAATATTTGAGTTGGCTAGAGAATGTCCAATTATGCTCTCAGTCACATTTTCAAAGTGATCCACCCTGGTTCACCACGAACACCAAATGTGCAATCCACCTTGAATCACACTGTATATTATTATCTACAAGTGATAAAGTGCTAGTTCAAGGATAGTTCTCTCCATCAACATTGTAAGGTATATAAGTCAAGAAATAGTTGGTTCTAATTCACCTACCAAAAAGTATGACTTACCCTCATAGTCTCTTCGCTAGATGTTGCGATGGGCATCAATCCAAAATATTTCCACTTCAATGATGGTGCAATGGTACTCTTTGTCAAGTTGTCTGCATTCATACTTCGAGGTATGAGAAGTGAGGGATCTGCATCGTATTTGGTCATCCAGAATCTTACTAGAACTGAATTGGGCATGGAACAGCATCAAGTAAAGAAATTTTTACCCTAACAACACAAGTAAATCCTAGGGACTTCCCAGGGACGTCCCTAATTTTATACTAGGGTATCCCAGGGATATCCGTTGTCGAGACAAAGTACATGCTAAAGACGTCCCAAGGACATCCACTTTCAGACAAGAAGGACATCTGAGGAATGTCCTTCTGTAGGACGTCCCAAGGATATTCCAAAAAAATCCCTCCGACAAAAGAAAAAAAAAGGTGAGTCGAGTAGGGATTGAACCCAGGACCTTCAGCTTATCAGGCACGCACCTTACCCTATTGGCTGATATGCCTAATGAAGATTTATGTACTACACAGATTTGAAAACAGTACAAAACTGGAACCTGAATAAATACAACTTTGTTGGGATTCCATGTATAATTATTATCATTCTTGGGTGTTTCAAAATAAGGGGCATTATGCATTTACCATTTTTGTTTGCGTAAAATGGTCATTAATTGAGAAGTTCTGAGACTATATTCCATATCTCCATTACAATTATTTTCCGGAAGGAAAACACAAACAATTTCGAAAAAATTCAACTCAATATTTTCATGAAATTCAATGACTCTTATGTGAATCGTTATCAGATATTCCAGGGACACGAAAAGGATAACCTAGGGATGTACCGGGCGGGATGTCCACTGGACGATCACTCCGGGACATCCCCTGGATGCCCCAATCATGTTCTTGTACCGCGGGACGAAAAAGGGACGTACCTAGGACATTCCTGTGTTGTTAGGGTATACTACTGAGATTTGGTCAGATTTGGTGAAAAGCGACGTCTTATCACACACAGTATAAATCAAGCAGTACAAATTGAAAGTGAAAAACATCCTGAGCGATTCTGAGAACGTTCTTAGAATATTTCCGTGTGATGTTCCGAATATTCTCAGAATGTTTCACAAGCTGCACTGAACGTTCTGAGAATATTTCAAGAACATGCAAATGGGACAAGAATTCACGTTTCAAGAACGTTCTCATAATATTTTTCAGAACATTCTATAAATATATTAAATATCCTCAAAAAGATCTACGTGCGTAACTTTTCCATTCGTGCGTAATATGCTTCTTACAACGCATATCACGTAATATACTATTATGTTTCAAAAACATGACCCAAAAACTGTCACAGTTCAAACATAATACGAATACTCTAATAGCCACCCTATATTTGAAAAGCTATTAACACTTGTATCAAACGAATTTCGATGGTGGGAATACAATTGCAAAACAGCGTTTTGAACAGTACAGTATGATGCAAATGTATGGAATAAATTTATTTCAGAACAAGACGACTTCCGAAAAAAGTCCAGAAACTAGAGTTCAAAAGTTTTTCAATTGATGTATGTTTCCAACTAGACGACCCTTCGATGTTCAATTCTCAGAAGCAGACCTTTGCAAGCCCTAATAACACACTTATGTCCCATGGATATCCTTAGGACGTCCTGGAGGGACATTCAGGACGTCCATAGAACGTTCGAATTTGGTACCGTGGACGTCCACTGGACGTCTGTGGGACGCACAAATGTCCCACTTGAGGACAAACTTGAGGGATGTCCCTGGGACAACTATTGAATACCTATATCCTAAAGTATTCCTCATCAAACACCACAGAGGACATCCTTACGACATCCATAGGACAACCTATCAGCAACGCTGAGGGATATCAATTGGATGTCCATAGGATGTCCCAGGGACGTACGAATTATTCTTGAATTCGAATTTTTCTGGGTCCCTCTAGGACCAGATCTTGCATAATTGATTAGTACATCCAGTTGAGGTGATGGTCCGTAGAAGGTCCTCAAAAAGTGTCCCAAGGATGTCCAATGGACTTACGTGATGGACATTGACGAGGAGTACTTATAGCCTACGAGCAATCATTCGTCAGGGAGGTGTAAGTTAACGTCCCCGCAGGGACAACATATTTAAAGTACCGACTGGGACGTCCATAGGACGTTATTTCTAGGACATTGTGAGTTGTAAGTTCATGTACCAATTGGGACATCCGACGGATATTCCTAAGGGTCATCCAGAGGATGTCCCTAAAGGACATTTCGATTGTTATACGATCCTGGAAATATTGAGGGCGTCTGTGCAGATATATTTAAAGGAATGTACCATCAGGGACATTCCATGGTTGTCTAGAAGGGACATTATATAAGATCTGAAGTCATGCCAGAATATGTACTACTTGGGACATCTGATGGATGTCCCTAAAGGAACGTTCAAAATCATATCTCATCAGGGACATGCCAAGGACGTCCTTGCATGGACATTCTACAATATGTACCACGTGGGACGTCTGAGGGATGCTATTCCTAGGACATTTGAAATGATGTACCAGCTGGGACATCCCGTGGACGTCCTTGCTCGGACATTGCATGAGATGTACGGGATGGGACGTCCCAAGGACACTTATTCTTGGTTCGGGACATTCGGACGTGAATTGTACCAAATAGAGACGTCCCTAGGACGTTCTGTGCTATCAGGGTATAATTCATATAATTATGTGAGAACATCGATTTTGCAATAGAGGGGGTCATATTATCGAGTGCATCGTCTCTGCATCTGTGAGATACTCGAGGTTTGACGCCTTGATAGAAACAAAGAATAGAATAGAATAGCTTTTTTCTACTACTGCTATGAAAAGTGGCGCATTTCTCATAGCTTCACTTAGTTTCAAAACCATGTATTGCTCATACTGTGAGAAATATTTTTCTCACGGCACTTTGCCAACACCATATGCATATTAATGGAGAATCAGCTAAAATCGACCAAATCTCAATTGGCTGGTGTTCAGCTTTGAATAGTTGTCATAACTGTCAAAAGAAGTTTTCCGAATTCTTCAGGGTGGTTCTCATTACTGCTCTTGATAGAAATCGCAGTTTACATCAAATATTATTCCTACAATTCATAATAAATGATATGATGTATATGCCGAGATGTGACGATTTTGATAAATACACCGCCAGAGACAGAGATAATGGAAGAAGCTGCGGAAGTTGAATTCGTTTCTGGAAATTTCAAGAAAAAGGTATAAATTGGCATATACGAAAAATGTATGGAATCTAAAAAAAATACAGAAATAAAATCTTTTTTGGAAAGTGTCTTCTTTTTAAATACTTTGATGAACTAGGAAATGCGTCTACTCTTTGGTCACAATATTCAATTTGGCATAGTGTCACATTATAAAATGAATACCAATTGGTTACATTACTTGGATTCTTTGGATGAGTGCAGTTGTAGAAAAAGAGTAGTGTGCAACATGTGGGAAAAAGTACTTTTCTCACTCGTGTGTTTGCATCACTCGCCCTCTTCACGCTCGTGCCACAAATTTTCACACTCGTGAGAAAAGTTTACCTTTTCCCACTTGTTGCACAATATACTATTTTCACCTATAAATAGTGTACGAGTACAATGATAATATGATTAATATCACACAGGTTTACACTATCAGGCTAGTCGCAAAGTTGTGAGAATTCATAGATATGGCATTAGACCATTAAAATGGATACATTACATATACAAATTGAAACGTAATATTTATTATATACCTACACATTAAAATAAAAGTACAGTTCGAACGAAATAAGAAATTACATACATATATGTATCGAAATTGACATATCATAAAACTAACAGTGAAGTAAAAATTCTTCTGTAAAGAAGTAGGCGTTCTGTAGTAGGTGACTAGATACCAGGTTCTTGAAAGAGTAATAGTTTTGTTGCAGAATGAGGTGTTGAATTTGTTGTAGCATTTGATTCCTTGATAAATATGCGAATTTTGTCTCACGGTCAATTTTGAAAATGGAGGATATATTATACCCGCATTTCTTGTCTTGTAACCATGAATCGAGTCATGCCTCAATAGGTCAGCTCTATGTTCATGAACATACAGTGTGACTTGCATAATATACAGACACGGGACAGGTAATATTTGGAATCGTTTGAAGTTAAGTTTGGAGGGGTCACTGCATCCACAGTCGGATGGCATGGTGGAGCGAATGAACCGAACCATAGGGAGATATCTCTGCAAAGTCGTAGATCAATACCAACAATACTAGGACCAACATCTCCCTTTCTTCTTGATGGCCTACAGATCTGCAGTACAGGAATCTACAGGACAGACTCCGGCGAATGTTATATTTAATAATAATAATAATAATAATAATAATAATCGCTTTTATTGATAATAAGTATGGAAATAAATACATGGAACATATTTACATAAAAAAAGTTACTTACTATCAAAAGGCAGAGTTAGCGTTTACCCATTTGAACGAGAGATGAGGCTTTCATGTGACTTGGTCTTCGGATGTAGACCTGGTGAGGACATAGTAGGGGAAGATTACGTTACGAATATGATGAAAATGATGAACGATATTCACGAATTGGTTCGTTCTGATCTGAAAATCGCCAGCGATCGCATGAAAGGTCTATATGACATCAGAGCTGGGGGTGCAGGATACGCGAAAGGAGACTTGGCATGGTTGTACAATCCACGAAGAAAAACGAGTAATTTGTCCAGAACTACAGAGATCTTGGGAAGGACCGTATACCGTCAAGAAGAAGATCAACGATGTCATCTATCGCATCAGTGAAGTACCCAGTGGCAAACCAAGAGTCGTTCATTTCAACAGACTAGCAGAATTCGAGGAAATACAAGATCAACAAGTTCAACAAGTATGTCCATACAGTGGTTCATCGAGAGCAAGGTTTGGCGTCATTAAGGAAGGTCACCGTGATCATTTTGCCACTCCTGTAGAATACGCACTAGCCACTGCGTCGCCGAGGATCTTCAGATGTCTCAAGGAATAGCCAACAAGTTCATGTGGAAATTCGGAAAGTAAGAGGAGCTTCATGAACAGGGTCGCTCCGTCGGTCGGGCACTGGAAATGAAAGATATCAGCCCTGATGGAGAAAGGTCTTTGTTTTGTGATATATGTGAATATTTGAATCTGCCGCCATCCCCAGTATCATTTCCACAAGGAGATAGCTAGGACAGAAACATGACGAACACATTTCCGTTCATTTTGTCTGATACCAGATCTCGATTCAGATGTATAAGAATAACTGATGTAACTTCCACGAAATCAGATCAAATGTAATGCATAAAGTGTCTGATGGTGAGGAATAAAACTCGATTAATCGGTGTTTCGATCATATTCTGGATATCATTGGACAGTACAAAATATAACAGCTTCATCAAATAACGAAAGCGAAATCTTCTGAGGAACCCACCTAAAAGGACCTCTGGGGTACGCTAGTTGACTTATGAAGCGTTATACTCGACAAGGACATACAGAAGATAGCTGTTCCTAAGCTGGCGTGTGGTCTGGATGTCTAGAATTGGAGAATCGTTAGAAACATGCCGAAGGTTGTATTTCGATTCACCGGAGTTGAAATTCTGGTATGCTGTTGGAACTCCAAAGGAACATCAAGGGAAAAGACAGTGCCATGCTACTTCTACCGTACTGCAAGTTGTAGACATGAAACCAGTTAATTGTCCCTATCTTCATAACGAGCAGAGTACATTCCAGGAGGCAAGAAAAGGGCAGTGTGATGATATTCACCTTAAAGGGGCTATAAAACATTATCAGGATGGCAAAGGTACAACGAATACAACGATCACCCAGTAACACGCGTCCCGGATTACTCTCTAATGATCCTTACATGTACCAGCGTATTTTACGAACACCCAATATGTGTCACGGCGACACAGAACCTGACAGAAGAATCTGGACACATCTCGAAACAATCGATGGAATAATGAGAGAGAAATATATTGTTCTATACCTTTTCAACTTCAATTTCGGAATCGGTAAGTTATATTTTGGAAAAAGTAATCTCGATTTCAGAATTGGTTAGTTCGATTTCAGAAATGGTAAACTCAATTTCAGAATCGGTGAGAAGAATTTCAGAAAAAGTCCATTCAATTTCAGAAATGGTAAGTTGTATTTCAGAATTGGTAGGTTCAATATCATAAAAAAAATCCTTATATTTGTTCGAATTATAAAATATTCAACTTTTCAAAAACAATTTAATCCATAGATGCCTTCCATCTGAATCGCTGGAAGATAGTGGCGTTGCACATGATTATAAGAATGCAAACACATTTGAGGTGTTATCATGTTCATTGAATGATCTGCACATTCTTCAAGACATCGCAGTCTGAATTCTATCTGGTTGAGCAATTTGTTCGGATCTCCAGCTATGACCCTTTGGCGATGCTCTTGCAAGAAGCTCTTCACTTCTGACTTGAAGGCACTCCATATATTATGTTCAATCTGATTCAACATAGGGCTGTCAAACACCGTTCCATCCACTGTAAACAGTCTTTTGCAATTAAAAACATTTCAAACATATAAAAGGATTTCATCTTCTGAAATTGAACCTACCAATAATAATTCTGAAATACAACTTACCATTTCTGAAATTGAATGGACTTTTTCTGAAATTCATCTCACCGATTCTGAAATTGAGTTTACCATTTCTGAAATCGAACTAAATATAACTCACCAATTCCGAAATTGAAGTTGAAAAGGTATAGAAGCTTCTAGAACAAAAGAAGGGTACGAAGGATCATTCGGAGACGTTCGAGAAGCAAAGGCTGCCAAGGGATCTGATATATAAGGACGGCCAGAGAACTGCCGTTAGTCAGTCAAGCAGCAAGTGTCAGAGAGACAGTCATATATACCGCGTGATATACATCGTTTTATATGAATGAGTAGTTATAATTCCTATATAATTCAGTGTTCCTTGAGTTGAACTAAATCATTTAGAAAATAAATAGTGTTGTGTTCGCTTCTGCACCGGAATAACGTAACAATATGTATATGCACAGAATATCGTTCTGAATATTCAACAGAAAACAACTACTTTCTCCACTATTTGCCACGTCGAATATCGAATTATAAATGTTGAACATCTTAAAGAAGACCATGGAAAATGAAAATATTCTGAAATTGGGAATTGATATTCTCTCTCAATGTATTTTTTCATATATAAATCCATTTTTTCATGTTCATAATTCATCTGAGAATATTCCTTTTCAATACTTTCACCCAATCAAGAAGTTGAAACTTGAACGATGGAATCTAGTTATTTTTATAGACCTTTAATCGCAGATTCATGATAAGGTTTTCTCGATTCTGAATATCTTTCTACGTCCTGTATGATGAATATCAATTCGTCATACATCCAAGAACAGAAACATTTTTCTCTTTCCCTGAGTATCTGAATAATATATTTTATGAGCATACCTGGAGAACATACCTAGAATATCCGCATCAAACATTCTATGATAATTTCCGAATAACATTCAGAATATAATTGAATATTTTAGGAATGTTCTCTGGATATTTAGATGGCATTTTCTCGTGAAATATTTTATGAACATTTATAACATCCCCATCATATTCTATGAATATTGGTCGGAATATTCTGGGAAAGGTATATGATGTAAACTTTCTGGGACAATTCATAGAATATTCTGTGCTATCTGGGATTGATCTATGTTGATGAATCTTCATTCAGTGCTTCAACTTCCTGAGACCATTCATAGAATATTCTGTGCTATCTGGGATTGATCTTTGTTAATGAATCCACATTTAATGCTTCAACGCATTGGATATATCTACTAGGAATCATCACTGTCATACATGTAATACAAAAGATTAGAAGGCCCAAGATTGTGCCTTGCGGTACCAAACCTAATATTTGTCAAATTCATCAATTTTATTGATTTCGGAATTCTATAGCTTACCTGATAGTGAGCCAAACATTGCTTCCAAGGATGTGTGTCCAACTATGAGAGGAATATCGTGGAATTTTCCTTTCTCTAACATATCATGAGATTTTCCTGTTATGATAGCACCAGGTAGATCAGGTTCTATAACAGGCCCATACGCTAAACCAGACAATGGATTGGACAGAAGGTGCTAAAATGAAATAATTATCAACATGATACTCAAATCAACAAAAAATGCAGAATTTTGATTCTTATACATTGTGATTCCCGTAGGCCACACATTAGCAGTTTTCCAACAAGTGGTTGTCTTAACAATGCCGGTCTGTGGGTGTCTAGCGTGGCCTGGCTAAATCGAAATCAATAGGCATTCAGGAAAGAATCACTTGTACCCAAGTAGCACACATATATCGGGACAATATCGGTGCAAATATCGGTGAATCATTGGAAATCATCATGAAGCTATGATGTCTCGAGAATATTGGTAGAATATTTCCATACCAATATTGCTGGAATATTCGTGGAGCTACATTGGTCACAAAATATCACATCAATATCGCTGATAAATGAACAGTGAACATTTGACAATACTGGTACAATATTGGTTGGAAATATTGATACATTATTGAAAATCATTATGTGGCTATGTTGTCTCCAAAATATTGCTGGAATATATTCATACCAATATTTGCGAGTTATTCGCATTGGGAATGATCACAAAGGTCAGCCCAGCCGAAGGGCAATGGGAGGGCCTCGCCCTGGGGAAGCCGCCTTGTTGATCACGGTTTACTCTTTCTCCAGGTGATAATGCTTTCCAATCGTCTAGAGCCAATATTTATATTCTCTCGTCTGATCGGCAATGGGAGTACGTTACCAATCATTTATAGCGCCATCTATCGACATCCGGTTGAGAGTGCGTGATATGGAATTAATATCGAAATTTCGATATCGATATGTATTTTCAAAAACAATATGTGAACAATATTGCTCACATGATATTAGTGAATCAGATATCAGCCAATATAAGATGATATTATTTTCTGAATATGACTAGAAAACTATTCAACCGATATGCCATATTGAACTCGAATATACAATATTGCATAACCGCTTCAGAATCGACATAGGGAGAATGTTCAAATTGCGATATTGGTTATTATTGTTGGAAACAAAATGTATACGATATTTTCCATGATATAGTTGGAATGATATTAATCAATATAGGTAAATTCGATGTTCCAAATATTGTTGAGACAATATTCATCCAATTTGCCGTCAAACTCGATTACACAATATTGCATAACCGCTTCAGAATCGACATAGGGAGAATGTTTGAATTGCGATATTGGTTATAGTTGTTGGAAACAATATGTATACGATATCTTCCGCGTTATATGGTTGAAATGATATCAATCAATATAGGTGAATTCAATGTTCCAAATATTGTTGAAACAATATTCTTCCAATGTACCGTCGAACTCGAACATACAATATTTCATAAGGAACCTCTCCAGAATTGACATTGGGAGAATGTTCAAATTGCTATTTTTTTTTTTTTATCGCTTGGAGCGCACGAGAGGGAATCCCTATAATGTTCAAAGAACATCGTGCGTTCCTAGGGAGGATAGGGTTTGGAGGTAGGTATTGGAATTTTTTTTGAACTTCTGGAGATTATATGTTGTTGGGAATACTTCCTCAGGCAATGAATTCCAGAGCCCAGCCGTTCTATGGATGAAGGAGTTTTGATAAAGTGCTGTTCGGCATCTTTCGAGGTTGACAACGAAGGGATGTGCTGACTGGGCTTGTCTAGTTCGTCTGACTGGTATTGCCAGTGAAGGGATGATAGCAGAGATTTCCGAAGAACATTTCCCGTGGAAGTATCGATAGAAAAGTGAAAGGTCGCCGACCTTTCTACGGTGTTCCAATGATGTCAAAGAGCGAGTGAGTGTGGCGTCACCCACCAGGCGGATGGCTCTTCTCTGGATGGAATCTAAGAGCATCAGCGTATGTTTCGGTGCTGAACCCCATATGTGGGAACAGTATTCTAGAACAGGCCGTATCTGCGCTTTGTAGATCATGAGGAGCTGTTGAGGTGTAAAGTAGCATTTCGCACGGAACAAGAATCCGAGTTTTTGTGAAGCAGCTTTTGCGATGGATCTGACATGATTATCCCATGAAAGAGTGTTGCTGATGGAAATACCGAGCATAGATATGGTGGGTTTGGTGGGGATGGTGGTTCCAGACATTACAATGTCGGGCATACTGAGTTCCGCCTTTCTAGATAAAATACAGGCTTGAGTTTTGGTGGCGTTGAATTCAACTAGGTTGTTGGTTCCCCAGGCTGTGATTTCAGCAAGGTCTTCATTGACAGCATTAGCCTGCCTGCGCCGTGTGTTCTTAGTTTTCTGGGAAGATATAGGAATTCTGGAAGAGAACGCTGTATGGAGGGTACTATCATCTGCAAAGCTGTGGATGGGGCAAGTTGTTACTCCCAACAGATCATTGATATGAAGAAGGAATAATGTTGGTGCCAAAATTGATCCTTGTGGAACGCCGGAATTGATGCCAATTGTATCAGACGATACACCGTCCACCACCACATGAAGCGATCTGCCTGAAAGAAAACTCGATAAGAGATGGCATAGCTGAGGTGGTAAGCCGTATGATGGTAGTTTGTGGAGGAGTCCTTCGTGCCAAACACGGTCAAATGCTTTCGATATGTCCAAAGCGACAGCTAGAGATTCCCCGTGTTTTTCTAATGAAGCTTGCCATAAATGGGTGACGAAGGCAAGTAGATCTCCAGTAGATCTTCGGTGGCGAAAGCCGTATTGTCTATCATTGATGATTCCCGAGCTCTCCAGATATTTGATGAGCTCAATGTTGATGGCTTTCTCCATAACTTTGGAGATTACTGATAACAGGGCAATGGGCCTGTAGTTGTTGGGCAGGTTCTTGTTCCCTTTTTTGGGGATTGGTTGGACTCTAGCTGTCTTCCAGCATGATGGAAAAATACCCGACCTGTACGAGACGGTAAACAACTTGCAGAGAATCGATGTTAATTCTGGTGCACATTTTTTGAGGATAATGGGTGGAATTCCATCAGGACCGTTAGCCTTATTCGTTTTGAGACCAAGCAAAATTCGTCTGATAGTGCGTTGATGGAAGACGATTTCGGGCATTCGACTCTCAACGGGTGGAATGTCTGGCGGCACTTTTCCTTGGGAATCTAAAGTAGAGTTTGCTGCGAAAATCTCTGCAAAAATATTTGCTTTCTCCTGCGATGTTGTTGCTAATGTGCCGTCAGATTTGGACAGTGGTGGAAATGAACTATTAGTGAAATTTCTTCCGACCGCTTTAGCAAGGGACCAAAACGAACGGGAGCCATTGGGACAATCTATGAGTTTCGATCTTATCTTGGCATTGTATGTTTCTTTCGAAGCATCTATTGTTTGGCTGCAGTTATTTCTGGCATCAATGTATTCTACTCTAGTCGCAAGGTTAGTGTTTTTGCGCCAGCGATGGTAGGCTGTTTGTTTCAAGGCAACAGTTCTAGAACAGTTTTTGTTGAACCAGGGTTTCGATGGTGATGATCTTTTTGAAGAATGGGGTATGTATGTGTCCATTCCGAGCATGATGATCTCGGATATTTCCGCAGCACACTGTGAAGGGTCCTCAGAGTCAAAGCATACTCTATGCCAAGGAAACTCGGAGAAAAACATGCGGAGACCGTCCCAATCTCCTGAATTGTAATGCCATATACGACGTGGGGGTGCCGGATCAGTTGATGGAATGAAAAATGGGCAGGTTGTGGAGATGAGTGTGTGGTCAGAATTGCCAAGTGGAGCTCGTACATCTATGGTGTAGGGTTCTATATTGGTTATACTTGTTGTAAACAATATGTATACGATTCCTTCAGCATTTTTTCTATCGCTTGGAGCGCACGAAAGGGAATCCCTATAATATAGATAAAATGATATCAATCAAGATAGGTGAATATGATGTTTCAAATATTGTTGAAACAATATTCAACCAATATGCCGTCCAACTTAAATATACAATATTGCATAGCCGCTTCAGAATCGACATGGGGAGAATGTTCAAATTGCGATTTTGGTTATAATTGTTGGAAACAATATTGTATATACGATGTTGTTGTATCGACATTTGTAATACAATAACATATGACATTTATAGATATGTCTTTCAACACATTGTTAACGAGTTCTACAACCAATATTGCTCCAATATTGTAGCTGACAATCCATATTCAGATCAGGTTGAACCAATATTCCACCAATATTATCATTCCAATATTGTGTGTCCAACATACGCTCATATTGAACCTATATTATTTTTCACATGTACGATATATCTATATCGGCCCAATATGAAATCAGGCTCCAGTCAATATGATGTGCTACCTGGGTATCAGTATTCGTTTATACGAGTGGATGCATAAATTTCGGGAGGATGTAATTCAATGTTCTGCGTGGCATTATCCAGGAAAGTTGTTTCTCTCCCAAAACCTACCATTGTTGTTCATTTTATGTACATTGTGTGAAAATAACTATGAGCTTTTTGTATTTATTTAACATTTCATCCCACTTTGAGCATTTGTGGCTATTTCGTAGTTGAAATTACGCCAGTCGTGCAATAACCAGCCATTTCCGTATGGGAATTTCAGTTTTGGAGTGATTCTTTTCTTCTGTTCTACTCAGATGGCGTCGCTTTCATATTGTCGATGAAAGACCCCTCTGGGGAAATATATTGCTGACTTGATTTCTGTTTGGCTAGGCTACGCTGAGTCGGCGGTCTTAGGACTACTAGCTAGAGACTACCCTGCACTGATGAGAGTTAAAGTATCAGTATTCGTTTATACGAGTCGATGCATAGATTTCTGGACAGTGTAATTCAATGTTCTGCGTGGCATAAGCCAGGAAAGTAGTTGTATTTCTCCCGAAATCTACCATTGTTGTTCATTTTATGAACATTGTGTGGAAATGACTTCGAGCTGTTTGTATTTATTTTCATGCTGTTATAATCGATCATTTCCAATCTTTTCGGAATATTTTTAGCCCCTCAGCTATACAGGATGCGTCAAAAATCGACACCAATTTCTTTATTTCAAATAGAAACCATTTGTCTCACACGGTTTGATTGGCCTTTTGATTCTCAGTTCAGAGAGATTTTTCT